CCTTGGCATGCCGGCGATTGCCGCAGCGGATCCTCCGTGCCGGGAAGTCCTTGGCTTCCGTCCGGAGGCTCCGATACTCGGCATCAAGCATCTTCTACTTGGCCTCGTGCGACCTGCGGCTGCCCTTCCAACACTTATAAAATTACCCGAAAGGTCGCTATAATAAGGGAAAAAAATATTGAGTATAACAAAAAAAACGAGTAACGGGTTACCGGTAACCTTATATTATTAAATAAAAAAAAGCCGAATAATAATGGTAAAAGTTATAATTATAAAAAAATTCGAAAAAGTTAGCAAAATTAAAAGGCCCCGAGCCAGTTTAAACCATTAAAAGCCTGTAATAAAAATGATAAATGTTAAAAAATACATTGTTTAAGCTTTAAAGGTTATAAGCCCTAACGGCCCGATTAAAAATGTTAAACGTATTAATTACAAACTTTAATACCGATATAAAAATAAAATAAAAACCGTTAAAATAAACGTATTTCGTTTAAAAAATAGCGAAAATTTAATAATTAATAACCGAAAACCGGGAAACCACCGAAACCATGCCAAACCTAATAAAATAAAAAAATTAGGCCCTTATAAAAAAATTATTATGGATACGATTCGAAATAATTCGGGCATTTTGGCATATAACCTTATTAAAAAAAACCAAACCAATTAATTTATAAGGTTACGCCGGTTAAAAACGATTACGATTAACCATTATTATGGTTTTATAATAATTAAAAGGTTAAATACTTAAAATTAAGCAAATAAAAAGGGCAATAAATACCATGGGGTAAAAAAAACCAAATAAGCCATTTAAAAAATTACCTTAACTTATGCCTAAATTGTTGGGATTAATGCTAATTATAAGGGGAAGATATAAAACGATAGTAGTAGTGCAGGGTAGGCCGATATAATATAGGGTAGGTAGTTGTATTGTATTAAGCTTAAAGGCATGAGGAGACAGGAGGCTTCCTGGATCCTTAAGGAAGGTAAGTCCTTTATATATACAATTAATATGGTCCGTGCGTGCGCACGGGCCTTAAGTCGCGTGCCCTAATCACGTGCCCTAATCACGTGTTAGGTATTAACCCTAGTAACGTGACAGGTGCTTGCCGTGCATAAAAGTGCGCGCCATGCATTAAAAGATATTGCTATAGCTACCCAGTGCGTTGCTATAGCTACCCTTGTTACCCTAGTGCATATATGCAATATATGCACTAACAAAAATTATATAAAAATACGGGATTTAACGGAGGATGATATGGATTTTTAACGATTTATTTATTTATTTATTTATTTATTTATTTATTTATTTATTTATTTATTTATTTATTTATTTATTTATTTATTTATTTATTTATTTATTTATTTATTTATATAAAAATGACTTTTTAAGTCATTGAAAGTTATTAAAGTCAGTTAAAAGTCAGTCACTAAAAGTCAAAGTCACTGCCCTGACTTTGAAAGTCAGTCATAGTCAAGGTGATGACTTGACTGACTGACTTTTTTCCCAACCCTGGTTATGCGCACCGCAGGGCGCTTCAGGAACGTGGTGGAGGCGGCCATCGGGAGGAGGGCCCCGGGTGTTGCTAGTGCTCAGGAGTGCCTCGTCGGTGAAGTTCCTTAAGCGACGGGCACCGCGCCAGCATCTCCTCGGCCTCGTCTTCGGCCTGGACGGGCACTTAGGGAACGGGGAATGGCCCGTCAGGTGCGACTTTTACGTGCTGGACGACCTTCCCGTCGATGTAGTCCTGAGCAGCGACTTCCTCTTCCAGCTGGACCTCTTCTCCCTCAGGTATGGGGTCTTCTTCGTCAACCCGGGCCCTGCGGCCGTGGCTGCCGCCTTCTGTGGCATCACTCAACTCCCGAGCTACCGAAGTCTCTTTGCCAAGCTGGCTGCGAAGAAGCAGGCGGCAGGGGCTGCTAGAGGCACCGTAGAGGACTGTACGTTGCTCCCCCCTCCTCCCTCCCCCACCCTTTTCTTTTTCCCTCCCAAACACCAAATTTTTGTTTCTTGTCCCTGTCTCGGCTCGGAGACTGCTCCATTTCGTCCGTCACTACTCACATTGTGTCTCTGATAATCACAGGGACATCGCCGCTGGCTTTTACGCCCACCATGGTGCTCCGGGAGCTTGAGCGGCGGGAGCAGACCGACGCTGCCATCGGAAGGGTGACGGACCCAGCCAGAGCTGGCGCGCTTCGGCAGGCCGAGGCCAGGAGACGAAAAGAATGGGATGGATGGAGGGACCACCACAGGACTGCGTGGGCTTCTTCCTCCCATCAGCCCCTTGGGAGAGTATCTGACGGCACACCTCGCGGCGGTGGGAACTGGGGTGACCCAGCCGGCAGTATGGCGACGCCCTCGATCTCTGCAAGGTCTCGGCAGAGCTCAGACCGAGGCTCAGGGGTGACGGCCGCGATCCCCGTCGTCACCGTCCTGCCGGCCTCTGGCCTGGGTCTCGCACCTGCTGCTGGGTAAGCTTAGACATTAACGTTCTGCCTGAGAGGCGCCAGGTAGTCGCTTGATGACTCCGCGAAAGCCAGCATGGTCTGCCGTCACAAGCCTTGAGGGCTTAGCAGTTCTAGGCTTGCAAACACTTCCACCACACGGAGACTAGGCACAACGACACAGATGGTGATAGACTTTCATTTGCTTCTACTACACTACTACAATTTCTCGCCAGTAGGTTTCTTGAATAGGCCAGACATGAGCGAGGGGGCCTTAAACTTCTCTCCTAGGCTCTCTGCTTGACGGTTTTCC